GCAGAAATTTTTGTGCTCTGGGCCTCTAGTATTTGTATAAAACATTTTTCTAACGAGACTGACTCCTCTTACCCTGAAATGAATTGTTAGATCACAACAGAGAATGTTGAAGCACTGCCTTCCCTCACAGGCGTGCCAACGCCTGACTGCATGCCGCTGCACTGTAAATAGGGAAATTCAAACGCGAAAACGTTCTCCAAGTTGCCAAACACAGTTCCCAGGCATCTCCTTGCTGGTGAAAGTGAAAGCTAATTCATGAGCAGCGCTGTGCACACACCAAGTAGCTTTGCGGAAGGACGTCCATTCATATGTTTCTTTGCCCTGAGTTCACACCCACAGAAACCCTTCCCTGGACCTCCCCTGACGTTTCACTGAAGATATTGGATGGAGCTGAAGGTCCCAACGCAGCGCACCGGTGCCCGTACCCCACCACCGGCCCCGGGTGGGCTCCCTCCGTCTCTTTGTCCGACTGCCCTCCCCTGGGACATTTCTCCCTGCCACCAGGAAGCCGACATCTGCATCTGGCTTTGGGGAGTCACAGGAACACTTTGAGAAACCTGCCATAAGCAAACCCATGTCTCCCAACACGCCTGGCCATAGTGAACCCTCTGTCCTCCTGTGGGGGCCTGTGGGAGCTGCACCACGAACACCCGAGTACCCTGTGTGCTGGCTAAGGGCGCCGAAGGCAGCTGTGTCCACCCCAGCAGGGGAGGGAGCTCGGCACACGTGCATCTCATGGATGCACGGCCTCAGACCTTCACAGGATCAGGAAGGGAGGTCCAGGGCCCGCCACTGAAAAGGGTGTTGGAAAGGGCCAGCAACCTCCCCGGCCCCTGAGAGCTGTGGGTGCCCCACACAGGCATGCAATGCAGCACAGCTCACCCTGCGGCCTGGGCTGCAGTACATAGGCCCGTGGGCAGGCGCATGGAGCCCCGACCTGACTCTGGCGCAGACGATCTGTGCCTGTGCGTCCACCCGCGCCGCCTGGGGCCCTCGCCCCAGAGCCCCCTCTGAGCGGCTGAGTTCTCGCCCAGGGCTCAGGCAGCGTTCACCCTGAAGTCAGTGCCGCCTCAGGGTCCGCCAATTGGAACGGCGGTGGCGGCCACTACTTCCCCATCGCTACACGTTGCTCTCATAACAGACACAGATGGCACGTGACACTCGCTCCCCCCTCCCAGACGCCAGGCATGATGGCTACAAGGATATGTGCCCAGATGTGAGAGGTACACGCCGCGCTTCTGGGCGCACTGTGGCCACGCGCTGTGGGAGCCAGGATGTCAGCAGCACGTGCTAAGGACTGGGCAGTGCACAGTGGTCACTGTGGTTCCAGCAGAAAGGAACAAGGCAGGACAGGGGCTGGCAGTCACTGCAAACTCACCAGGCCTCCGGAGCCCTGGTGGGAGTGACCAACACGCCCAGCTCCCCGTCCCGCTCACCGGCCCTTAACTTGGTTGTTAAAAATAATCAAATAAAAACTGCTTTAAAGCCAGACCAGATAAATGAACAAAATAGATTGAAACAAAGCAGTGGTTCTCAACCTTCCTAATGCCGCGACCCTTTAATACAGTTCCTCATGTTGTGGTGACCCCCAACCATAAAATTATTTTCGTTGCTACTTCATAACTGTAATGTTGCTACTGTTATGAATCGTAATGTAAATATCTGATATGCAGGATGTCTTTTCAGGGGACGCGACCCACTGGTTGAGAACCACTGAGAGGGAAAGGTTCGGGAACACCTTGGTTAATTTTCCTTTGTGTGTGTGTGTGTGTTTACTTGAAAATATCATCATGTAAATAGACTTTAAACATTTTCAGAAGGTTGTACAAGTACATCCTTAAGAAGTTGTCCAACACGTGGTGCAAGACTGAGCGGCGGACACACAGCGCAGCAGGTCTGACTCGACTGGCACCGTGACGCAGCAATGACCCCCTCCGGGCAGGAGACACGGCTGACAGGTGTGCAGTGGCCTGTGGCCCACTGTACCTGAAAACAGTACACATGAATAATTCTTGTAAAAACATGCAGGCAGGCCTTCTGAACGCAGCGGAGACTGACACACCCCTGAGCTTAGGGAGCGAGGCCTGGAGCAAGGCTGGGCTGGCGCACCTGCTCCGCAGTCCTGCCTCCCTCGCCCACTCACTGTGAGCGTGGGGCCTGCGGCCTGGCAGCAGCCTTTTCTGCTCCACTAAGCAACACCCATGCGTGCACGTGCACATCCATGCACAGGAGCCCCCAGGCACCTGGAGCCCTGTCTGCAGTTCCTGCACTGGGAGGCAGGGTGAAGGCCAGCCTTGGTCTCCACTCCTGCTGGGGCAGTTTCCGGGCCAAGCAGTCTCTGAGCCTTCCTGCCCCACTGGCTGCCTTTCATGTGCTAACCACCTGGGCGTGGCACCTCCCACAGTGCGGGCCTCACCTAAAGGCAGAGCCTGGCTGGGAGTTTATATAGTATTTCTTTCTTTTCTTTATTGATTAAGGTATTACATATGTGTCCTTAACCCCCCATTGCCCCCTGACCCCTCCCACCCATGCCCTCACCCCCCTGTTGTCTGTGTCCATTGGTTAGGCTTATATGCATGCATACAAGTCCTTTGGTTGATCTCTCCCCCTTACCCCCACCCTCCCCTGCCTTCCCTCTGAGGTTTGACTGTCTGATCGATGCTTCTCTGTCTCTGGATCTGTTTGTGTTCATCAGTTTATGTTGTTCATTATATTCCACAAATGAGTGAGATCATGTGATATTCATCTTTTTCTGACTGGCTTATTTTGCTTAGCATAATACTCTCCAGGTACCTCCAAGCTGCCTCAAGGGAAAGAAATCCTCCTTTTTCACTGATGCATAATATTCCATGGTGTAAATGTAACACAGCTTTTTTATCCACTCATCTACTGAGGGTACTTGGGTTCTTATCAGATCTTAGCTATTATAAATTGTGCTGCTATGAACATAGGGCTGCATACATTCTTTTCTGATCGGTGTTTCAGGGTTCCTAGGATATATTTCTAGATGTGCGATCACTGGGTCAAATGGCAATTCGATTTTTTATGGAAACAGCCTAAGTGCCCATCAGCAGATGACTGGATTAGAAAACTGTAGTACATCTACACAATGGAATACTATGCTGCTGTAAAAACGATGGAATTCTTAGCATTTGCAATAGCATGGATGGACCTGGAGAGCATTATATAGTACTAGAGGTCTGGTGCATGAAATTCATGCAAGTGTGTGTGGGGGGGTGTCCTTCAGCCCGGCCTGCACCCTCTCCAATCTGGGACACGCTGGGGGTAGTCTGACTGCTGGTTTAGGCCTGATTCCACAGGCAGTCGGACATCCCTCTCACAATCCGGGACTGCTGGCTCCAAACCACTCTCCTGCCTGCCTGCCTGATTGCCCCTAACCGCTCCCCTGCCAGCCTGATTGATGCCTAACTCCTCCCCTGCTGGCCCTATCGCCCCCAACTTCCCTTCCCTACTGCCCTGATCACCCCGAACTGCCCTCCCCTGCCTGCCTGATCACCCCCAACTGCCCTTCCCTGCTGGCCTGATCACCCACAACTGCCCTCCCCTGCCAGCCATCTTGTGGCAGCCATCTTGTGATGACGTCACACGTGACGCCACCTAGGCTTTTTATTATATAGGTCGAATTCTCATCACTGAAGGATTAAAGCAGGCACACTGCTACCTTGCAGACTTTTCGCAGGTTACACAGTGTAATGCAATGTGAAGAAAATGTCTCTTCAAGGAAATTGTTTCCCCAAATCGGGACCCGCGTCTACAGAATGAGAAGCTGGTAAAGGGTCTTTTTCAAACCCTCTCAGCCGGCACACAGCTGCGGCGTCTGCGCCTCTCCCTGCTCTGCTCTGGCCCATGCTGAGTGTACAGAGCTGCCAGCCCCATCAGCAAACAATGTCCCCTCTGTCAGAACAGAGAAGGAGCCAGCCGCATGGCAAAACCCCCTCCGACGTCCTCCCTCTCCCCCCAGGAAAGGACAGCCAGGCTGGGAAGGACCCCCATCTGAACTCCCTTCCAGCAAGCAAGGGGCCCAGTCATGGCAACGGTAAGTCAACTGCCAATCAGGGAAAGTTGACAAGTTTCCTTTCTTTTAAACTGGAGCATATATTTCTGCGTGTGTGTGTGTGCTCGCACAAGCGTGTGTCCGGATAGCTTTATCAGGAGGAAGGAGGCGTTTCATCAGATATAATTCAGGGCTGAGCAAAAGCAGCTTTTAGCTCCAGACGGAGCGGCCCCAGGGGACGTCACAGAAATGACACAGCAATTTGTGCGAGGATATTGGCAGCTAATTCAGGATTGCTGGAGCTGACTCCGAATCCAGCTGCTTCTGTCCAGCCTGTATTCCCGCTGAGCTCATGATTCATAAAGGAAGCGCCTGCAGTTACTGCTCCAGACGTACCGTGTGACGCTCTCAGGCTTCTCTTTGTGCATCTGCCTGTCTGTCGTCTGACACACACACCCCCACACACCCCCTCCCCCCAAAAGAGGCATTAAAATATGATTTTCCAAACCATACACTGCACAGAGCAACTGTTAGTGACCGACGAAAGGTTTTCCTTAAAGAAGAGCACGGATGGCTCACGTCTGTCAGGTTCGCACGTCTTATTGGTGTCAAGCACCAGGGTGTGCGATTCCCCCCTTGTGACGCGACTACGGTCTGCATTCTATCTTAACCTCTGGAGGGAGTCGCCGACTCTTGGCTCATAAAAGACGAAGTGCTAGTTTTGTAGTCAGACCACACTGGCGTTTGTTTGCATGGATGTCTAAGAAACATCCCCGCTCCTTTTCCCACACAGGGTAAGCCCAGCCAGCGAGCGCCCAGATTCTAACGGGCTCTCCTGGTAACAGGGCCGCCCGCCGGGCCAGCCGCTCTGTGTTCCTCCTCTCTCCCCCCACCGGGCTCCTTGCAGACTAAACAACGGGCCTTTGTGCGTCCCCCTGCGACCGGCCAACTCTAACGGCGTGCCTGGTACAAGGGTGGTGTTTACCTTGGAGAAAACTGTCCTTGCAACCCTTCCCAGCGCTGGCAGTGCCGTGGCTCTGAAATGCTGCGAGCTCCCTCCTCTTTGCTGCCTGCAACCGAAGAGGGAGAGAGAGTGAGGGGGAGGCAGTGGCTAGGGAAGGGGACGACTCTTGTCCTGTTCACGGTAAATCCATGCCAATGCTGGGCTTTCTATTCCTTCCTGCGAAGCGAGGAAAAGCTAACGAGAGGGGGGTGCAAGTCAAAAGTCTTTTCCAAAACAACAGCCACGTCGTCTCCTCAAATACACACCCGCCACTCGCTCCCTCCACGTCTCCTAGCTCCAGGGCAGAAGCCTCTGTGCTCCTGTGGTAACATCGCACTCAAGTCACTTACCTGAGTCTGGACAGGAGGCTTTATGCTTTGGGGGAAGGCGAGCTGTGCTTTCGGCAAAATGTCTTATTAAAAGGCGCGTGTCGGTGCAGCATGAGCAGTGGCACCCGAGGGACACGCAGACCTCTTAGTCCGGAGTCGTTCCTCCACGCTCCCACCGAGGACACGGGAAGAGGCGACAGGTGGAGGCACCAGGGATGCCTCCTTCACTGCCCTCCCGGCTCGTCGGGCC